CAGACTTATGTACGCGTTCTTCAATATTCGATAAACATTGTTCAAATAGTTATAATAGTTGAGGTAAAAAAATTTCAGCTATTTGATCTACACATTCATTTAGATCTTCATCATTTTTTACAATTAAATCTTTAAATTGATTTTGGATATCTTTATCTTCATTTAAGGGCGATCTTCATAAAAATGCGAAATTCAGAAATCGGGCCCTGCCACCTCCTAGCCATTCAAAGAATCCATACGAGAAAATGGAATCCCGAAAGATTTTATCGGAACCAAAAAGACCCAAAAAATCCACCCCGAAAAATTTCAGAGAGTCAAAAATACGTAATTTGCAAGAATTTTCAAGAATCTCACTTTCGTTCTGAAGATATTCGCCAATCATCGCCGCTATCGACTTGAGTATGTATAACACAGTGGAGAGCTTTTTTATGAGTAATTCTTGTGCAGTTTATCACTGCTTTTTCGTTTTTTCGTTGAAAATATTATAATCAAGAGCGTATAATTAATACGGGATAAGTACACAGAAATTATAATAAGAATGTGAGTCGGCAGAGATAATTTCTTCTTATAATGTTGTTTAATCACAAAGTTAAACTTTTCTCAAGCACTTAGAAGAAGCCAGTAGAGTTCATTATCCTCAGAAAATGTACCAAGTATAACGACTTAATCTGCATATATATATAGGCTCGATTAAAAATGCTGATTGTGCAACGATTACAAAATAAAAATGCAAAAAAATGAGAAATGCACCAAATGGTTAATATCACCATAATTGAGAGTCTCCTCGGTGTAAGCTCGTTTTGTTGTTGATGGCTTTCGGGATGTACCGACGACCAGTTTAGTCCTGTTTGACGCACAGAAGATTGAAGCTCAGCCATTCCGCCTCATTCACAGGATGCTAGAATGGCTACAGCAACGAATTGATCTTAGCAATGTTGTTGTTCCACTTATTCAAAAATACAGTTAGTGCTTGTCAATGCTGATGTCAAAATGTTTGAAATTATTCAACATCCATAAAAGTATTCCGCTTTCTGCTACTCAACACGGTGTTGTTAACTGAACAGTCTAAACTGCTTCACCACGAGAAGATTCGGACATTACTTCAGAAGATTATATGAACCTTTATTTTTCAGTTTCTTTTTTTTTTACGAGGATCAGTCTTCTTTTTCTATTTTAAACTTTTTCATATATGTGATATATTCTTCCTCTCTTCACTTTCCATGATTTATTAAAAAGGGTTCGTCAGGTAAATGACTTATATCTTTTCTTGGCCACGATGAATAAGTACTGAGATATCACAAAACTCTAAAACATTTTAAAAATGAGTGGGAATAATATACTACGAGTTTGGGCTCATAGTTTTCGACAGAAATTTTCTGTACTGAATTTACAAGTACTAACAAAATAAAACCGGCGACAGCGTGAGTCAATTTTTTCCTCCTTTACCTTATGGAAGAGAAGATTAAATCTCTAAAACAAGACGGTACGAAGCTTTACAATACTTAGAAGATTAATACTCAGAAATCAGAAGTTACAAGTTTAAAAAACAAAACTTTAATCAGCGTTCACTAATATCTCTACGAAATAAAGTGCTCTCTCTCCATTTTGTATGGCGCACGAAAAAGAAAAAAGAAAAAAAGAGCTCTAATCTTTCATAGAAACAAGTGTTACGTGTTGTGAAAATTATTTATTGGAAAAAGCTACAAGTTAAAATATTTTTCTACTAGTGTATTCAGATAGAAAACATTTGAATGCACATATTCATATATATTTCACTACTTCATAGACTTCTGGAAGAGAAAAATACTGATGCCAAAGTATAGATTTGAACTGATCTTTTTAGCAGCACTGTGAATAAATAGCGTTAGCACGAATGTGCATTGATTGTCGTGTATGTCTAAACAATAAACCACATTCTAAAACAAATTTTTAGTGACACGAAAAATTTTAGAAATCGTTTTTCGTGTTATTAAACATAGTCTACTGGAATATTTATCTATGAAATAATATACCACTATAATTCAAGTAGAAAATTAGAACAAAAGAAAATTAAGATATTTTTTAACAACGCGAAGCAACAACAATTTCCTAAAAAAATTCGTTCATTAAGACTGTGTATCCGATTCATCAATTTCATCATCGTTCGAATCATCGTCCGAATCTTGATAATAAAACAACTCATTTTTAAACGGTGTTGTTGATTCACGTCGTTGAATAAATGTAGTTTTTTTATTATTATCATTATTATTTAGCTGATGATGAGACGGCGATTCATTTAGACGAGGAAATGTGTAAGAAGATCTTTCAACTTCAAGTAAATTTGTTGATAAACTTTTTGGTACTTGTGATTGTGTCAACGCTGACGGTGAAATAATCGATGGGGATCGTGAACGAGGAGGAAGTACCGGTAATGTTCTCATCGATGTGTTTATATTACGTTGTGATCTAGATGGTGATGATGATGGACTACGACTCTTGATTAATAATGACGTTGAAACTGGTTGATCGTTCGGACTAGGAAGTGTATCCGATGAAGGACTAGACAATCTTAAAAAGAGAAAAAAAAAGGGAGTTAAAATGCATAGAAAGAGAAGTTTGTCTCACCTGGTAGATGATGGATGAATATCGTCACGTTCATGTGGAGAATGTGGACTAGTCCGATGACAAAGTTCATCCGGCAAGTGTTTTGAGTCAATTGAATCATTTTCATTTAGCAAAGGAGTTTTTTGTTCCAATGAGGAAAATCCATCACCATTTTCTAAATATAAGATTAATTTATATTCAAACGTGTTAGATATAAATATGATTATTTTCCTTTTTCAAATACTCACGTCCAGTGTTATACAATAAAATGACTCTAGAAGTTCTTGACGGTCGTCCCTTTGAACGTCCATTTTTGTTCGTATCTCGAATATCTGTCATCACTTCGTCAGTGATAGGCAATGGATGTCGTCTAGTATCGGTCTTATCGAGGGAAATCTTTTTTTGTTTCAATTTTGGACTTCTATTCGGATTTGTTCGTCTTTCACCATTACCATTCAATGGCAACTTTCGTCCACTAGACATCACAGTTGTTAGTGGAATATTTGTTGCATTATAGGCTGTAGTAATCATTGTAGATGGAGGACGAGGTCGAGGTTGAGGATAAACATAACTATCAGGACTATCATTCTCCTCTTCACCGTGCGATGTTGTAGTTGGACGAGGAGATGAACGAGTATAATCTGAATTTAAACTACTTTCAGCATTTGTTTCGTTAAATTGTTTCATTGTTTGAGTTTGAGGACATGCACGATGTCGATTTTGTTTTTCATGAACGATTTCATGTGACAAATGCTGCTCCTGATTTGGTGGACGAGTTAAGAAATATTGTTGTCCTCTATTCATATAGTCAACTTCAGGAGAACTCATACTCGATTCTTGCCATAAAACTGGATGATTTGGTCGAAAGGGTCTCATGTTAACAGGTGCAGGAAAGCGTTGATAAACGGGTGAAGAATCTCCTCCTGAATACGGTAATGTTTGTGGAACTGTAGTTGATGACTGTATATAAGGCAACCTATTTGGTGGTGGTTTAAAGGCAGGTGCCGTTTGATTTAAAATAGGAGTACTTTCCTGCAAGAGTTCATTCGTCATTAGTTTACTGTTATTAGTAGCTGATTGCAAACGACTGGTTCCGGGCGTTGTCATGATCGCTGGTCGAATATTTGGATGAGTATTTGCATGATCGTTTGATTGTGGAGGAGTTATTGGTAATGAGCGAATAACATTGTCTGGTACATTCAATGTTTTTCCATATTGTGGTTCATCTTTTCGTTTCTATGAAAAACCAACAAACTTTTATATTTAATATATGTCACTGCCAATGTTTTAATATACTTACATCATCAATATTAGTCGCGCTAATATGCGAGTGTGCAGATGGTGATGGTCTCATTGCATTCGCAATTGATAAAAACGCATTGTCACCACTTGGTCGCCTATTACCTACTTTATTCTTTTTACTAAACAAACTGTCAAAATTCTAGAAAATAAAAAAAACACTAAAAATCTTTCTCATTTTCTAACAAAATACTAATTACTAACCGAAGCTGATTTGTTAGAGCCTGTTCGTCGAAAACTTCCACCTCGTTTAGGTCCATTTATATCATGATCACCATCATTCACACCTTCTCTTGACTGTTCCCGATGTTTCATTGCAAATAAAAGACCATCAAATAAACCCTAAAATAAATGGAGTTCGTATTCAAATTCAAAGATATTTGCAGTATGAACAGAATCAAATATTAGAGAATATAGTTAATATTTTGTTTTCAATAAGTAACCGTTTTGTTACTGCTAAACAATTTGTGTTGAATAAAAGTTATTTTGAACAAATAGAATTGTAAGAATTAATGAGAAAAGAAGCTGCATACTTGTTAAAAACAAACATTTGCACTGAGATTTTACTAGCAAACTATAATAAAATATAAATTCAGTAAAAAAAAAAAAATTAATTTGTATCGCATCATGCCATAAGATGAGGGAATGAATCTAAGGTAAAAATGACATGCAATCAGAATCACTATAAAATGAAGGTTCAGTTTCCTATGAAAAATAAAAAGAGATTTAATTTATAGAATAGATCAATTTAAGAAAAAAACTTCATCATGAACACTACCGAAGCAAATTATTCATATACTTAAGGAATTAATTTAAAATAAAATATTTTTTTCTGCTGCTCATTTTTATTTTTCTAATTAATATCAGTTCATGCTAGATAGAAATGCATGCATTTTTTTCATCGACTTTTAGGATTGCGCAACTGACCTCATCTTCATTAGGAGCGACAATAGTTGATGTCACCGATAGTCTATCCTAAAAATATAATTGCATTCCATCTATTTTATAGACTAAGAAAAGGCTACTAATTAAATTGTTTTCATTATACCTCGAAAAAACAATATATTTTGTGAAAGTTTTTATCTTTAATTACCGGCTTTTGTACAGGAATACCACTTTGCACTTGTTTGTATAATCTCCAATTGTCTACGATTAACCATATAGCATATACTTTACCCACTGTAAGTTTGGGATGTCCTGGTATACCATGAAGTTCTTAAAAAAAATAATGAACCAAATGAATGCTGAAACGTGAGTACATTAAAAAGACGCTAGAAAGCAATACTACGGCTGAGATATATACAAAATAAAAAATGTTGCAAACATTTTAGGACACCTGATATTATAATAAAGTGAGCCTAAGTGATGATGCATCAAGTAGAAGAACTTAATGAATATTTGATGTTTAGCGATCATTCACAGCAAAAAGATAGTCAAACTCAAAAAGAACTCTCTTGTTTCATATTAAAAACAGACTAATAATAAATAATACTATATGTACCCGCCGGTGGTGGAACTAGTAAATCTAAAAGTGGCTTTTCTATATTATCAATTTTCACCACTCTTTTCGATTCATTTGGCCAAACTTTCATTAAAACTTGTCTCAATTCTTCGTCAGCTTCATCCATTTCATCAGCAACTGAAAACAATAATAAAAATTAAGAATTAAGACGATATAAATATTATAATTAGACTATCTACTCGTTCTCATTTTGATTCCAAGTGATTCACGTATAAGTGCAAATAATGTTGTAGTAAAATGAACACGTTTTTGATCATCAATAGGCATATTCATTCTTATAAGACGCTAAAATGATAGATATTTTTTCAATTATTTTCATTACATTTTCATAATCATAAAAATCTTACTTTATAAGCAAGTTTTGATGGACATTTTGTACCAAAACCAACTGGTGGACTCATTAATCTCAACATTTCAAACATTTTCATATATTCAATTCTACCACTAAAAATAATTATTTATCTAATTAAACTAATATTATTATGAAAATATAATTAAAAATACGTACGTTCCATCTGAATCATATTCTGACCATGCCCTTAAAAATTCATCAAGATGATGTGCACCGAGAATGGATGAATCACGAGTTAAATAATCAAAATTATCCATAATAACGGCGACAAATAAATTCAACATCTAAACAAATATAAATTAATCAAATAAAAAATAAAAAATAAATATATTTTTTTTTATATTTTATTTTTCTTCTAATTATTTACCAGAAATGATGATAAAAATACAAATGAACAAAAGTAAACATAGGCAAAATTTGATCCACATTCGAATCGTTGTTTGTGCGATCGATCATTTGATTGTGGTTGACATTCAGCGTTCGCTTTACACGCTAACATAACACTTTGCCATCCTTCGCCAGTTGCACACCTAACAAAACAATCGTAAAATTAGTTAGTATATTTTTTGTTCTATTTTTGATGATCCTCTATATCAACGATGAATTATTAGCTAGACAAACACAATTATTAGCTATTTTATATATAATATTTTAATCATCAATATACTTCTCTATTCCTTTTTACTAATAATTAAGAATTCGATGAATAATACAACATTGACAGACAAATACATACGAAAAGCAACGTTTGAATACATTTAAGCATTGAATTATAAAATAGAGTGAAAAATTTCATTTTCTTTTTTTTTTTTCTCGATAGTTCTTATCATTCATGACAACAATTAGGTAAAGAATAAATTGCGAGTGTGTTGGTTTATTTAGCATATTTTTTTTTTTTTTTTGAGGTCTCAAAATGCACATTTAGGTGAATGATACAATGAGAAAATACATTTAACATTGTGTTGATTATACCTGAATAATAATAATAATGCATGAAAAAAATTTGCAAAATTATTGTGACGATTAATTTCTCTGTTTGGTGTATCATAATTGACATTACCAAAAACCTTTATGGAAAAATGAAATATTGAAATGGAATATAATATAAACTTCGAACATCGAATATAATAGCTAAACTATGTAAAATGAAAGTATCTGATATTTCTATAAAGAGGCTAAATCTAAATCAGTTAAAAACGACGTGTGATATTTAAAAAAAACAAAAAATATTTCTATTTTTAACAATAGGAATGCAAAAAAAACAACAAAACGTTTACCAGTTATTCACTAAACATTTAATTGATCAATAGAATGATCATATTTATTTAATCGGAAGATAATAGAAAATTTTTGAATAGACACTATTTTATAGAGTAAACTCTGCACTATTATTTTATATCATCGAAACGTTTCTATTTTTAACTACTCTCATATTATCGGAAATATAAATATTTTTTTAAATTATCTTTCGTTTTTAACTGATACAGATCTCTAACGAACTATACGATTTTTAATCGTTATTAGAACTAGTAGAATAGTATTTACACAAACGCATTTGTAATTAGTCCAATCTCATATTCTATACGTAGAAACTATAGAGTAATCTAATTCATACGTCAATGTTGTAGTTAAATCTTAATAGAGCGTAGATTTTGTTCTCTTTTTGAAAAAAGAAAAAATTATAGAATAAATTAATTGAAACTAAATTTTCTATTTCTAAAGTCACTGTACAAAAAATAAAAAATTATAAAATAAAATAAAAAAAAAAAAATAATAAAAAAGCTACTAAATAAAACATTCTACTAAATAGAAGAAGACTGTAAAATTATACGATGAATACTAAATTAAAACTGATGTCTTTAATATATCATTCAAATTTTACTATTGATGAACAAAAAACTTCATCTATGTTTCTAAATAAATCTACTAAACATGCATTTAGACTTGTTGGTTTTGTTTTTTTAAGTATATGCTACGACTTGCCTGAACAAGACTAACGTAGCTTTAAAAATATTGTGAAAATTATTGTGATCATGGATAGTGGCTGCATGATCTACTTTAATATTTCCAAATACCTATAGACGACGTATCGATCATATAGTCTATTATAAAGGATTAAAATCGTATTAAATATATACACATACCTGCATGCCAATAATTGCATAGATAAAAAATAGCATAGCAATTAATAGACAAACGTATGGTAGAGCCTAGAATATAAATATAAATATCGTCATGTTTATTGTTTTAATCAAATATATTATCAAACCTTAAATGATTGCATAAATGTCCATAATAAGATACGAATTGTATAACCTTGTCGTAATAGTTTTATTAATCTTGCTGCACGAAATAATCGAAGAAAGCCAAGATTTAATAAACTATTCTAAAATGACAGAACAAATATAAATGAATTTTTACAGGTTTTACTAATAATCAAGTATGTTTGTTTAAAGATAATAATATTAAATGTAATTTTAATTTCAATTCAAATTTGAGATATGTTATAATTCTTACTTTGTGCTTATGAGGTCCGGGACGTGCGACCACATTACCACGAGCTGAACTAAGCTAAAATAGTAAAAAATTTGAATAGTGTTAAGCCATTGTTATTTGGTATTTCTAAAAAAAATCGTACATTAAATTCTGTCAATAATACATCACAAATACTTCCAATAACAGTAATAAAATCAAACACATTCCATTTGTCTCTGAAATAGTTCTACAACAAAACATAGCGTCAGAAAGGTTACAATGTCAGAAAGATGAGTTATTAATTGTGCTTACTCTCAATCCAAATGCAATGATTTTCAATATACTTTCAATAGTAAATAGTGCAGTAAATGTTGTATTTAAATATGTTAGAACATCATTGTACGTAGTTGGACTTTTGTAGTACTTAATATATGTAGAAAATTTTATAAATAATTCATATGATCTTAAAATTCATCTAACTTACTTTCATCATCAATACAAACGTGTTTAACGCTATCATAACCATAATAAAATATTCAAAATAAGTTGATACGACTAATTGCCATATGCGATAACGTAAAGAACTTTCTTTTTTGGGTTTAAACCGTTGAATAGGTTTGGCGTTGAGTGTAAAATCAATACAAGATTTCTAAAATCAAATTTTGTACATAGAATTTCTGTTAAGTCTCTTCTAATAAATAATTTATTTTACAACCGACTGGAACTTTCAGGAAATATTATTCATGTAAAAAATAAAGTTACACGCCATCAATCCATCTTTGATAGATGTAAATTGAATAAGGAACAACGGAGGAGTGTTCATACGTTCAATAATTTGCTGTCATCTTACATGTTGCAGAGCCATGAACGTTACTAATAAACATTTCTTTATACGACATGGCTTGAGAGTAAAGTTGTTCGTCGCGTATTACAAAGATACTCTGTTCGAAGCTTGACGCTGTTAAGTCGTGCAATACCCTCGGACAAGTTATCTGTGTCTTAGTACCTCGATCATCCGTCTGATAGCGTATTCACTGCATTATAACGTACAATACAGATCCTCCAGTTAGGTTTTGTGGTTTTCGAAAACTTAGTGTGTATGACGAGCTCAAACAACTCTTTTACTCAGACTAGCTTTTCTGACCAAAGTTGCAGTTTATGATTGATAACGAACGATATCAACGGCTTCGTGAGAAACTTATCAACTGAATTAAATAATTAAAACTCGAACAAAGATTGTTCTGACTTTGGAAAGATACTTTGTATAAAACACTAGATCGACATCGAAAATTCAAGCACTATCAGTCTGTATAGAGAAAAGTGTTACCTTTCCGAACTCTGTACCATGTAAAGTTTGACCAGACCTCTTTTTTTCTCATAACAACACTTTTTTGCCGGTGTTTCCTATTGAGCGTCCAGATATCTTGCTGAAAAAGTCCTGTATCGCTAACGGCAAGAAACTTAGCGCAGTCGAAAGAGGAGGTTATTTCGAGCTATTAACCCATATAATTCATCAAAATTATCATTTCTGAAAACTGTGGAATAGGAATCTCAACAGTAAACAATTATTTACCTGGTTTTTATTAATTTCTGCTTCTTCTAATTCTTTTTGACCTTGATCTTGAAATGTTATAATAATTAAAGCAACAAATATGTTGACGAAAAAAAATGGAAAGACAATAAAATAGATAACATAAAATAAAGCAACTTCTAAACGATTTCCTGGACGAGGACCCAATCGAACACCTGTAGCATCAATGGAATGTTGAAGAACTCTAAAATAAATTACATAAAATTTTTCGATTAAAATTTAATTAAGAAAGAATTTCAAAAAACACGTTACGTTGGCCAGCCTTCACCAGTTTGAACGGTGAATAATGTTAATATGGCAGATGGTACACTATCATATGTAAATTCGTATGGTTCCCATGTTCTCTCTTTTTTTTCTGGTTTTGTTTTACCACTACCAAAATTAAAATACCACCCCCTAAAATAAATACATACAAATATTTGAAATTTTAGAAATTCTCTTTCTCTACTCAGTCTTAAAAATACATCAATAGTCGCAAAAAATAAGTTTCTGCTAAAAGAAAACGAAAATTTTCAAAATCTGTGAGTACCAAGGCCCCAAGGTTCCACCACCTCTGCTTATATCGACTCTAAAATTCATAATACTTGAGTTTAAATCTTTTTAAACTTTATTTTTCCATTTTCTGACCTACTCAGCTTCAGTTAAAAAGTTAAAAGCCATGTCATATGATATCTGTCTAAAATATCAGAGGTTTGGAACAATATTTGTAGAGTAAACAAGTTCTTGCCGATCTGCTGACTTTTGAGAAATTTCTGTTTGCCTTAACGTCATTTTTTAGTTCTATTTTTGACTCACATGAGTTAATTCTGTTTGATACCCCGGGGATCAAAATTAGATTATCTTTGAAACTTTAGAAGTGAAAGAAAGTGCTGAAAAATATTTGCTTCACAGACCCACGTAAAATGAACTTTTTTCCTTTAGAGAATTGATTTTTTGAAACGTTTCTTTCTGTCGAAAAGAAGTCCAAGCTATTCTCTACAAATCGTTTTTATTTGTATTTTAAAAAGATTGTAGCATTCGTAAAGAAATGTAGGGGAAGGCCGAGTTCTGTGATTTTAGTGGTCTAAAACTTGTCACACACTTTGTAGCTTGTCTCAGATAAAAACAAAACAACAAGCGTTCGCTAGTTGATTATTTTATTGTATCCTCCAAACGCTTTGTCATACTTAATGGCAAAAAGATCAAATTTCTAAATGCTTTACTTTCGGAGAAAATTCGAAAATAATGTGAAAAAAACATCTCAATGTTACGCTTGTCTAAGTTATGCAGGATTTTATAATGATAAAGTCAAACATACTTGCAATCAACTTCATTTAGTTTTGATTTATCTGAACAATGATAAAATTTTCCTTTAAACAATTGTACAGCCATAACAGCAAATATAAATTGAAATAACATATATACAATCAATATTGTTAACACATTACTCAATGACGTTATAACACAATCGAATACCGCCTAAATGAAAAAAATATCAAAAAAAATATCATTTTATCAATACCATTGATGACTATCACATACTTTTAGTTTTGGTACACGATTAATTGTTTTTAATGGTCGTAATACACGTAGTACACGAAGAGATTTAATTGTATTCAAATTTTTACCAGCACCATTTTCTCTATAATCAGTTTATATTAATATTTTGATTATATCTATTGTTTAAGACTTACGTAAATCCAAATGCCACAAGTGCACATATAACAACAAGTGCATCAAGAATATTCCATACATCTCGACAATAGGCACCCGGATGAAAAACAATGCCTAAATCAATTACCTACAAAGAAAAATAATAGAAGTATGAGAAATAAAACGAGAAAATAAATAAATTTTTACTTTGAGTATAAGTTCAATGGTAAAAACGCCTGTGAATACATAATCTAAATAATTTAATATTTTATTTCTGAATGAAAGTTCATGAACAGGATCTTCGGCGGCTAATGATATTGAACTTAGACAAATAACTAACATAATAAATGTATCAAAATAACGTAGATTAACTATAAAATGACAAAATCGCCGTACACTAGAAAAAAAAGAATATAAAAATAGTCAAATAATCAATAAAAATAAATCATAAAACATACGGATTTGTTGAGCTAAATATAAACATTGAACTAAATGGTAATACGGGTTTGGCAACAATTTGAGCTTTTTCCTCTTCTTTTTTCTTTTCATCCGCTTTCTCTTGTTTTATTTTATCAAGTTGTTTCTTATCAAGAGTATTATCATCCTTGGACGGTAGTTTGTCAAGTGTTGCTAGAATAAATTTTCTTTAGCCATATCATTAGAATAGAATGATAAATATTTTACACATACATGGTAAATAAAGTGGTGCAAATTCATAGTCTAATCCTGGTATATTATCTAAATTTGTTTTTTCAAATAATTGTTTATCCAAGTAAGATGGTTGTTCTTTAGTTTCATGAGTGTCGAGTACTTGCTTAATAACATTTTCAGTATAATCATGCTTGACACTTAAATATTATATTTTTATTTTTGAAATATTATTATCACCGCAACGTAATAACAATTTTAAACTTACGTTTGTTGTAAATTATTATGTTCTAACATTTCCGGTTTTTTATTTTTGTTAGTGGATGTTGTTGGATGACCATTCGCATTGGCATGCGTTTGTTTAACTGGTGTATTTGACGATGGCATTGCCGGTTGTGTCGAACCACCGCCCATTTTAAACATAGATTCAGCATCTTTAGCTTCTCGTTCACGTTTCTAAAACAAACAAATATATCGATTATTTTATAAATACCATTTTCTTATTAAAAAAATATTCACTTCTTCTTCAGCCGCTGCTTCTTCTTCTTCATCTTTTGTTAATTCATGCGCATTTGCTAAATTATCAACAGCAATGGCCAAAAACACATTCAATAGTGTATCTATCAGATAAATGTTAAGAAATAAACATTATTCGAGAATTTCAAACATAGTTTACACGTCTGTTTTCAATAAAAAGGATACAGTTACCAAATAGCACCAATATAATAAAGTACAATGAATAAATCATGCCTTTTCCACGTGCACTACGGTGAGAAAAAATACCATTGTACATTATTTCATTCCAATCTTCACCAGTTAAAATCTAATAAAAAAATATTATCTTAACGATTATCTTTCAGCAAAATCCTCGAAAACTGAGCATTTAAAACTTTCCAATTATAGCATTTTACTATTTTCAAGTCACTCTCTTCAGTCAACAAACTAATTTTTAAATGAAATTAAAGAAACATACTTGAAATACAGTGATCAATGCTGTAGCGAATTTATTAAAGTTTTGTAATGGTGTTTCATCTTCAAAATTAAACCTAAATGTATTTTAAACGAAAAAATGAAACTTTTATCACCATTAAATTAATAACATACTCTCCGCCAAACAATTGCATTCCCAGTAAGGCAAATATCAAAATAAATAAGAATAGCAGAAATAATAACGACACAATTGAACGCATACTACTGAGTAATGATACAACAAGATTTCTTAATGATGCCCAATGTCTAAAAATAATTTGAAGTAGTTGTATCACGCTGAATGAATTATTGTACGAAAAACGTACCGTGTCACTTTAAATATTCTCAATAATCGTAATGAACGTAGCACTGATATTCCAAATGATTCATCTGTTTTAAATGCTGACCATATCACTTCAAATATTGAACCAACAATAACCTTTAAAATGTTTTAGTAATATTGATCATATAATATAAATTATTTTAAGATAGTTATCTACTTACAACAAAATCAAATATATTAAACGATGAGGCAAAATATTGTGAAACACCTAGACCAAACATTTTAAGCAGCATTTCAAATATAAATAATCCGAGAAATAAAAATTCAGCATAATCTGTAAAATAATCGTATTATTAGGTGTACAATATTTTTCATATTTAATACACTATTTAACTTACATAAAAATGAGGTCAAAAATTCTGGTTGGGAATGGTGTTCAATTGCTACACAGACAGTATTTAAAAATACCAAAACTATCACAGTCCAATAGAAAACTTGTGTTTTAACTAATAAGCGAATTCTACTTCTATAAATAGACAATCAAATGTAAATTAAGTCAAAACATAAATAAATATTATCAGAGTCAAAATATAGTGTATTTCGTTGTTTTTGAATAATCTTTCAACTAAAAGAGATAGAGACATGCGGTTTTCCCTGTTGGATGAAGGAGACTGGAGCACGTCTTTTCGTACTCAAACCAACTTCGAACGTAGAGAATCTTCCGAAAGTAGAGTGCCAATCTACTGATGTTTTTGCCTCAGTAGATGGCCCAAAGTGCCCTCTTCAAAATGAGAGTCAAGCGAGACCACAGTTTTCAGTAATTCGGACAGTGGAGTTCACTCAGTGCTCGTACCCAACGACTTCGAGTAGCTTTGAAATCGCATGGAACATATGTATTCAACAACGCTGGAATCTGTTAGTAATGCTTATGTTTCAAAAACAAATCCCAAAACCTGGTGAAAACTAACTTTTATAAGACTCTGAGTTTTCAGACTGTTTCCACCCAATACTAAAAAGTTCACTATTCACTTAGAACTTAAGAAGCGTAAAAACGAGTTAAAGAACTTCTGGATGTACAGTATTTAGACTATTCTATATGATATTTATAAATCTATAAAAAGAATTATAAAACTATGGTTTTTCAACATGATTTCCAGAGAAACCTTAAGCAAATACATAATTTTGCAATTTTCCGATAGTATCGTCATCTTAGGCGTGCAAAATTAATTCTATTCAGAAGTTTTTAACTCGTTCTGACGCTTCTTACGTTCTGGATGAATAGTGAACTTTTTAGTATTGGGTGAAAACAGTCTGAAAACTCAGTTTCTTATAAAAGTTAGTTTTCACCAGGTTTTTGGATTTGTTTTTGAAACATAAGCATTACTAACAGATTCCAGCGTTGTTGAATACGTATGTTCCATGCGATTTCAAAGCTACTCGAAGTCGTTGGGTACGAGTATTGAGTGAACTCGACTGAAATTCGACACCATATCCGAATTATTGAAAATTGTGGTCTCGCTTGACTCGCATTTTAGTTAAAAGATTATTCAGAAACGACGAAATCCACTATATTTTGATTCGGATATTAGTACTCTTACCTTAAAACTCGTTGACGAAACCAACATTTTCTCATTACACTCCGCGTACGATCTGGTCGTTCTGAATCGACACCACGTGCACGATGGAATGCTGAATCTGAAAATTTATAATAGAAACATTTTTCAGAAAATCCTTTCATGATTTAACTTGTTCCGAGAGCCAGAAAGGAGCACCATATATACTATTTTTAGTATGTTAGAAAAGAAAATGTATTGTATGTAATGTAATGTTCTGACTAGAGTTATAACTGATGACGAATAACGATATGGGTGACCATTTTAGAAGCAGGTCAACTGACCTAGATAGAAGCTAGTGGAAGATAGCTTGAGAAGATATTAGACTATTGAAACTGGTGTTGTTAGCATCCGTCTGATATTGGTAGCAGTAACTACAATGCGGTGTATTTTTCTTTCCTAGTGTATGTGTAATTGTCACATTGTTAAAATAGACCTGTCTCTTACCAATGTCTTCATCGTCATCATCGACGCTGTGTTGTTTTCCTGTTCGGCCATGTCTAATTTTCTTTAAAGCGGCATATTTACGAGCTAAAGACAAACATTTTCATTAAATTATCTGTCTACTAAATTCATATTCCATATTACCTTCTAATATGGCACGACGCTCTTGTTCCGTTGTTCGTTCTTCATTCAATATAACATCTTCTGCATAAATTATATGAGCACATTTTAGAATCTATTAATCATAATTCTTCAAATAACATACCTGCTCTATTTATCCATTCAATATAATTATTATATTCACGTTCAATTTGTTGTTGACGTCGAATTTTTAAAAAGGCACGACGATTTTCCACACGTTCACGTTCTTTCGCAAATTCTCTATAGAACAAAGCAAAATACTAGTAAATGAAAATTTCATTGTTTTTCTATTTTTGGTCACAAAACTTACCCACTAAGAACACCAAGAACTAGATTGAGCATAAAAAATGAGCCAAGTATAATTAATGGAATAAAATATAACCAATTGAAATAAGTTCCAACAGCATCATTCGTCTAAAGAAACAAAATATACATTAGTTTATTTACAATTTTCGTATAAAGTTTATTTCCTGTCTATACCCAATAGAGTATTTGTGTCCATCCTTCCATGGTAATACATTGAAAAACTGTTAACATTGCATATCCAATATTATCAAAACTTGTTATGCCTTTATTTGGACCTTCCCAATGTTCACGACATACCAATGTTTCATTTGGAACAGTACAAGTGTAAACACCTTAAAATAAAATTCAGCTGTAATGATTATAATGACAAAAATTAGATTTTTAACATTACCCTGTTTAAACGTTGAATCTATTGAAATAAATTTAAAAAGAACGTAATATATTGCAAAAAAAAAATGATAAGAAAAATAATACAAACCTGGTAGGCCACATGGAATAGGTTTTTGATCATCACCTTGTTTATACATTACTGAACAAAGATCAAGAATAATTATCATAAAAAATTAAATTTTATTTGGATCTTATACTTACATTCTTCACTGTCATCTTTGGCTAAAATAACCATAAAATACGATTCACTTTTTTATAATTACGTCGTTAGAAGGAGTCAGGATTTCTAACTAATGGCACAGTGGATTTTTTTTTTTTGTCCTAATGAAACCGAATGCTCACTTTCCAAAATTACTGAAGTGTCTGATTTTTAAATCATAAAAGATTTTCAAACATAAAATCGATAGAATTTACCTGGTTTGTTCACGTAGAAGCATGTTGTATGAAAAACACCGTTATAAAGTTCTAAACCAATAATAGCAAAAATAACAATGGCAAATAGCACCAATAAAGCTATCTGAAATAGGGGAGCCATGGCTTTAAGAATAGATTTTAAAACAACTTGAAGACCTAAAAATAAAAATGAGAAATTTATTTTTACAATTATAATTCATGTGTTTTTTTTACTTGGAATGCCGGATACTAATTTTAATGGTCTTAACACTCGTACAGCTCGCAATGTACGAAGATCAAATGAACTACTTTTTTTAATACTTATTGTTGTTAAACTAAATAATATAGAAAAATATATTAAAAAATTATTATTTAAAACAAACGATAAAGTATATTGAACTAACCCCGTAACTACTACAACAAAATCCATTATATTCCACAAACTTCTTAAATATGATCCACGATGTAAAACAAATCCTAATGCGATAATTTTTAATCCTGCTTCAAAACAAAATATTGCAATAAAATAAACCTCAGTTTTTTCCTGTAAAAATAGAGAAAAAAGAAAAAACTATTATAAATATTCAACAAATCAATTTTCATTCATTCCTAGAGACTTACCAATGATTTGGCTAACGTTGATTTATCTTCTTTTGGTAAATGTTCTTCTAATGCAAGTACAATACAATTTGCTATAATAGTTAATAATACCATATACTCAAATGGACTGAACAACTCGTTAAAGAAAACATAATTAAATTCTTAATGAAGTGAAATTGAAAGTAAGTAAAAGAAGGTAAAATATTATACATTCAACAAATTTTTTACTATAGTCATCAAATTTCAATTATAACTTATTGAAGAAGACTTGAAATTTTATAAAAAAAAACATAACATATAAAGAAAAAAAAGGATACTTCCATTCAATAAATGCCGTTGCTCGTTTTCTTATCCAATTTGTTTTTGAAAATATAAATAATGAACTATCGCTGGAACCATTTATTTGACTAATAAGATCTTTTAATTTTGCTTTAATTGTTCCAGTTTTATCACCACTACTACCAGGACCACCTAAATTATGTGGATCACCACGTGTCAATGATAATATTGTTTGACCATGATCGGGTGCATTTTTCAATACTCTAAGAACAGCAGAAACATCACCGAGCATGGTAATAATAATATTGTTGTTTAGTTTAATATTGTATGATAATCATTTCGTTTCTCTGGCGTAAGAGAGTTATTCCAACAAATATATACATATATATATATATATGAATAATCAAATACAAATCTTAACAATGCAAATACTCTCCAAGTAAAAAGGAAAACGTAAATCGATAGTTATTATTGGTTTGTTCATTAGACATCCATCGATTTTTCTATATCTCTCTTCGTTTTTAACAACAAGTGAAATAGATGCATCATCGTAGAACAACAAAGAAAAAAAACAAAGACACTTTTCATTTTTATTTTTTAGCTGCAAATATTTTGAACACGCCTTGAAAAACGGAAAGAAAACGTTGTCGAAGTTGTGATAATATATAAATTTATCTTTTTTTTTTTTTTCTTTTCGTTTCTCTTATCGTTAAACGCATGCGTTCATCTTCGATAGTGAATTTATTTTTCACGTCTGCCTGAAGAAGATAAAAAAAACGGGAATTAATATTTTTTTTCTTTGTTCAGTTCGGAAAAAAAGAAATGATGATAGATCCATGATTTTTCCCATAAAAAAAAAAAAAGAAGAAAAAAGGTTTGTATTAAATAAATTATTGTCAACAGCCACGTTCGGATTAGAGAGAGAGAGAGAGAGAGAGAGAGAGAGAGAGAGAGAGAGAGAGGGTGGCTCAAAGAGAGAGAGACATTTTCTTTATTTTTTTTTTTGTCTAATTGTTTTTTGTTTTGTCACATGTGACAAATCG